GTTCGATTCCAGGTGAGCTTGGTTCCTGTTTGGAGCTCAGGAACTTGTATCTCCACATGAACAAGCTGACCGGTTCAATCCCGGGCCAGTTGGGTCAACTACAGAAGCTAACCAGCTTGCTGATCTGGGGGAATGGCTTAACCGGTTCGATCCCTGCGGAGCTTTCGAATTGCTCCTCGCTTGTAGTGCTCGATGCTTCTGCGAATGATCTCTCCGGCAGCATTCCTGGCGATTTGGGGAAATTGGCAGTCTTGGAGCAGCTGCATTTGTCGGATAATTCGTTAACCAGTTTCATTCCAAGCCAGTTGGGCAACTGCACGAGCCTAACCGCACTCCAGCTTGATAAAAACCAGCTCTCGGGCTCGATTCCGGTCGAAATCGGGAACCTGAAGTTCCTGCAGAGCTTCTTTCTATGGGGGAACTCGGTTTCGGGCACGATTCCATCATCATTTGCCAACTGCACTGAGCTCTACGCCCTTGATTTGTCGCGGAACAAGCTGACCGGTTCGATCCCTGATGAGATTTTTAGTCTGAAAAAGCTGAGCAAGCTACTACTACTGGGGAACTCACTGTCAGGAGGGCTCTCTCAATCAGTGTCGAATTGTGAGTCCTTAGGGAGACTACGACTCAGCGAGAACCAGCTCTCTGGGCGAATTCCTAAGGAAATTGGTCAGTTACAGAATCTAGTATTCTTAGACTTGTACATGAATCATTTCTCAGGTGAAATCCCTCCGGAAATCGCCAACGTTACAGTTCTGGAGCTGCTAGATGTGCACAACAACTACATTACTGGTTCCATACCTTCTCAGTTGGGCAAGCTGGTGAATTTGGAGCAGCTTGATCTTAGTCGAAACAGCTTCAATGGAGAAATCCCTTGGAGCTTTGGTAACTTCACTTACCTGAACAAGCTGATCCTGAACAACAATCTACTCACTGGTTCCATCCCTGGGTCGATTCAAAGCTTGCAGAAGCTCACATTGCTCGATCTCGGCTACAACTCTCTCTCTGGGGAACTCCCTTTGGAGCTGGGCCACGTCACTAGCTTGACCATAAGCCTCGACCTGAGCAACAACGCGTTCTCTGGAGAACTCCCCGAGTCAATGTCTGGTTTGACTCAACTGCAATCTCTTGATCTTTCCCACAACATGTTTTATGGGAAGATTAAGGTTCTTGAGTCGTTGACTAGCCTTGCTTCATTGAACATTTCCTGCAACAACTTCTCAGGTCCTATTCCTGTAACACCATTCTTCAGAACTTTGAATTCAAACTCTTATCTACAAAATCCGAATCTCTGTGTGTCGGTAGATGGGATTACTTGCTCTTCGAGGGTTGCTCGAGCGAGGGGATTGAAATCAGGGAAAACAATTGTGTTGATATCAATCATTCTGGCATCACTAACACTGGCATTGCTATCCTCATGGATTATAGTTACCAGAAGCCATAGGTATATTGCTGAGAAAGCTTTAGGAGGCTCTTCGTTGGAGGGCGAGGATTTTTCATACCCTTGGACCTTCATTCCATTTCAGAAGCTGAATTTCTCAATAGACAACATCTTGGAGTGCTTGAAAGATGAGAACATAATCGGGAAAGGTTGCTCGGGAGTTGTGTACAAGGCCGAGATGCCTGGAGGCGAGTTGATTGCAGTGAAGAAGCTGTGGAAGACTAAGGGTGATGAAGTTAACATCATTGACTCATTTGCTGCAGAGATTCAGATTCTGGGCCACATTCGACATAGGAACATTGTGAAACTATTGGGGTACTGTTCAAACAAGAGCGTGAAGCTGTTGTTGTATAACTACATACCGAATGGTAATCTACAGCAGTTGCTGCAAGAGAATAGAGGGTTGGATTGGGAGACAAGGTACAAGATTGCTGTGGGTTCAGCTCAGGGTTTGGCTTATCTTCATCATGATTGTGTCCCCGCTATACTCCATCGAGACGTGAAGTGTAACAACATACTGCTTGATTCGAGGTTCGAGGCATATCTGGCTGATTTCGGGCTTGCTAAGCTGATGATGAGCACCCCAACGAATTATCACCATGCCATGTCTCGTATTGCTGGTTCTTATGGATACATAGCTCCGGGTAAGCTTGTCTTTTTAACCATTTTTCTTCGAATCTTGTTTGAAGTTCATAACTTTAGATTTTAGGGCAACTTGTTGTGATGAATAATGTGGGAAGTTGTCTTAACCGTTTTAGCCTTCTTTATTGTCAAAGATTCAAACTTTGACTTTGGTTGACTTGTTGTGATGATCATGAAGAATGTGGGAAGGTGCCTTAACCGGTTCTCTTTCCACATTTCATCACTTTTAGCCATCATCAATGTCAAAGATTCAAACTTTGGCTTCAGTTACCCTGTCTCTAATCATCGTAGGGCTCTGTTATTCGAACTGGCTTGGATAAGCCCTCAATGATTAACAATGGGGAAAGCTAGTTTCTCCACCACTTTATTACTATTAGCTACTGCATTTAGTATTAAAGAATCAAACTTTGACAATGTGGGAAGCTGTCTTAAGTCTTAACAGTTTGTCTTTCGACATTCCATTACATTTGAACTCTTCATCAATGTTAAAGATTCAAATTTTGACCGACTTTGCAGAGTATGGCTACACCATGAACATCACCGAGAAGAGCGATGTCTACAGCTACGGGGTCGTGTTGTTGGAGATCTTGAGCGGTAGGAGCGCTGTGGAGCCACAGATTGGTGACGGGCTCCACATAGTCGAGTGGGTGAGGAAAAAAATGGGGAGTTTCGAGCCAGCCACTTCGATACTCGACTCGAAGCTCCAAGGAATGCCGGACCAGATGGTGCATGAGATGCTTCAGACGCTTGGCATCGCCATGTTCTGCGTGAACTCTTCGCCAGCAGAGAGACCGACGATGAAGGAAGTGGTGGCATTGTTGAATGAGGTGAAGTGTCCACCTGAGGAGTGGGGGAAGAGTACTTCCCAGCCTTTGATGAAGCAGTCTGCAACTCAGAGTTGAGATAATAGACTTTTTGTTGGTTTAGTTAGGTGTTTTTAGGTGATTTTTTTTTTGCAGTCGATCTTTTAGTTTGAGTTGGGAAGGGAAAGAAGAAAGACAGATAAGTTTTGAGTTTAGTGGGGCTTAGTAGGGATTAGGATCTGTTGTTTATGTTTGGGGTTTCATGGTGTACAGTTTTAGAGATAGAGATTTGTGTTCTGTTCCTCTCTTGTTTCAGGTTCTGGAAATAATGGAATTAAGAACAATTCAGATTGGAATTCCTCATTGCAGTGCTATTTCATCTCATTTCTAGTTGTTTGAAATTTAGTTGTAGTATCTAACAACCATAACATAGTGTAGGTACTAACTTATCAACTTTTCATTGGTTTGGTTCCATAGTTTGGGAGAGGTGGAAGCCATATTGGGTCCATCATTTCATGAATTCTTCATGGATGGATGTCCTCTAAGTAGTAATGTAGGGGTCGTTTGAAAAATTATGGTTTGGGGGAATCCTGATAATTATGATAGATTTGCTACATATACATAATTAGTGATCAAGGATTTACAAATCCCATTTCAATAGGTGAAATTTTCAAGTTTGTAGGATTCACGGATTTGGATAAAAAAAAGGACGAACTTCGTGGATTACCCATTTGACACCCCAAAAACAAACAATGGACTTGGCTAAAATTCATTATGTTTGGAATTTGGGTCACAAATCCAACAAGCAAACGACCCCATAATGTTTGTAACTTCATTGCATTTTGTTATACATCTAGCTCAACCACTTAGAAGTGCCACACGATCGTCACTCATGATTAGGTTTGCTACGTTTAAATTTTAACAAATTGATTAATTACGTCTTTAGTAGCTATCATATTCATCATTTCATCGTGTTCTCCATCTATTTCCCATTGAAATTAGTCACGTCGCCCTCTCGTATCATCTAAATTTAATATAAAAGATTCACAAAACATTTCACTCTAACCTAACCTATCCTAACCAAATTCCAACCCAAACCAATGCATCTGATCAAATATGGTATACTTTTAGAAGCACAAGTCCAAAATGCTTCACATCCAAACTAGGGCGAAATGAAAGATAAAGAGGCTTGAGAAACATGTGGGGTTTTTGCCATACTGTTTGGTCGCTATAGAACAATCACACTAACAACAAACTTGTATGTACGTGAGATCTTCACTCCAATCCACCTACTCTTATTCAATGTCGTCCAATCCAAACAAGAGAGAAGTCAAAATTGTTCAAGTGATGGAAAGTAAAGAAGGGAATGGGTGGTGATGGGGTTTCTTGAATTTTGGATATAAAGCAAGAAGAATCCAGACTACATTGGTGAAGGTATGGGGTTTCATGTGATTTTGCTGCACCCACATTGGACAACAAAATCCATGGAATCATCCCTTCCACCCATTGCGCATTGCTTTCAAGTGCTGCACCCACTTCGGGTCATTTTCTCCCATTTTCGGTTTATTACCGTCGTTCCGAAATAAGTTCCTCATATTCTTCCAATTTGTCTAGAATATGAATTGATATTGGTGTAAAATACGGTTAGCATTAAATTTCTTTCGTTTGAGGATGAAGATGTGCAACATAAAACTCCAATTACATTAAAGAGCATGTCCGAGTTTTTGTCCCTTACTACGCCATCCAAAATTAATACGTCATATGACCATAGTCGGGTGCTCAATGAAGTAAGTAGCAAATCGCATATTGCTGGTCTACTTCGACTAAACAATCCAGCACATGACTTACAGGACGACGAAGACGAATATATTAAAGACTTTTGAAGAATACAAGAATGAGAGAAATCAAATACTAATCCGTTTAAAACGCGAAACTCAGATCATTAACAACAATCTCCATCCTCATAAAATTCGTGTTGTTTAGCTTCCTACCTCCCTTTCCCTTACCTCTTGGAAGCAACCTTTGTTTTATCAACCACACTCCCCACCATTTTGTCATTCTCTGTGAAAGAGAAGTGGCTTGGAAGCTACTTCGTAAACAAGGCAAGAAGCCACATCTTCTTCACTGGACGATTCCAAAATGTTCAAGTTAAAGACCAGACATACCACCACCCTTTGCTACTAGTACTTGCTACTGAACTTCCCCAAGTGAAGTGACTCCAGACAGATTCTCCCGACAAGAACAAAAATTCTATTAGAGTTGATCATCAAGTTGACCCATTTTTGACTTTCAATAGACACCACAATCGATCACTCACCTTGTCCCCAAAAGCCATATCATTCCATTTGCTCAAGTTCCTGTCTCTTCCTAATTCATCTCTGGCTTCCCCATCTCCAAAAAGAACATTCCTTTCACGACTAAAGCAGGAAATCTGCCTGTGTTTTCAATAGATACCAATGGGGATACTTATAGGCCTGGTTACAGAACTGACATTCTCTATCGAACATCACAGCAGTTATACCAGACAACATAAAATAGTGATCACTGCAACTAAAAAAGCTTACTTAATCTGATCTAAGAACCCATCAACTGAAACTTGACGTTTCCCTCTTGTTAGAGGAAGACGACCTGCCTCTCAAGGCTGCAACACTTAGCTTTGGACCTCCTGGTGGAACCGCTGTTGGACTTCGCTTCTTTCCCGTTTGTTTCTTGGGACCTGAAGAAGACTTGAATGTCTTTGAAGAGTTCGTGGTCTTTGAAGGCTTCTCGATCTTCGAGAACTTCAGTGTTTTTCCGACCTTCACAACTCTCCTAGACGCAGTTGCAGGAGAGGGCTTTCGCCTAGAGCTTCTTGTGGAATCCAGGACCTTGGTCGAGCTGTTGGATTTAACACCGAGAGGTTTAGTCTTGCTACTCTGGCTGGATGATTTCGACAGTCTTACATTCTTCCCTTTCTGTTCAGTAATACGAGCCCGGGCTTTGTCTCTTCGAACGCCATCCATAGTGAGGGACTCCAAGCTCTCGTTCTTCCTTATAGCTTCCTCAATCCTTGTGGCTAGTGGTACGTCCTTTTTAGTGATCAAGCTTGTTACTTTACCTGAAGAGAGAGCATATGAAAGGCATAATCTGAACATTGGAGAGGAGCAAGAGAGACGATATGGAAGGGTATGGTATTGTATTATCAATCATTACCTTTTGCGCCCATTCGAGCAGTTCTTCCAGTGCGGTGAAGGTAATCAACCTACAGCATTACAAGAAAGAAGGAAAAGGTCAAGAGATGTCATTTTGATCTCGAGTTGCTCCCCTTCTCCCTCTTTCCTCCTTTTTTCCTTCATTTCCTCCCCCTATTGATTAAGTGCTTAAGCAAGCTGTACATAAACGACACATTTCTTGGCACCACTGAAGGAACTCTCCGGTTGTCAGAAGATCTTACACCAAATCAATGGTTGAGGGACCAAGAAGAATTACCACGATATTTTATAGTTGCCAACAAGGCCTAGATACTCGATTTTCAAAAAGAACTTAGGAAAAACTAGGGTCAATTACACCCTAAACCCTCACAAAAAGCTTTAGAGGATATATCCATTGTCTCTTTTTTTTTTATCAGAATCATTGATGTATTGACACAGAAAAACACTGCAGAAAACTACTAGCATAACAATGCAAAAAAAAAAAAAAAAATTACTTACAGAGTTAGAGGGGAAATCAAACATTATCACATGGTCAACATCCAAGTCTAGTCCTCTAGCAGCCAAGTCCGTACAAACCAATGTGGGGCAATCTCCATCGTCGCTTTTGAATTTGTTCAGATTCTGAACCCTGAGTTTAAGGAGGGATTACATACCAGTTTTATGCTACAAATGCCTAGCAATTATCAAATTATCATTGCTACGAATTGTCTTACCTCTCCTCTGCCGGGACCTCCCCATGGTAATTAACAGTAGCCATCTGATTCTCAGAAAGAAAATGGTCCACCGCACGACTAGAATTCAGGGTATTACAGAAGACCATCACCCTGTTCCCCTTTGCCAAACTTGGCTCAAGAACCTGCATTTCATACCCGGCTCTTTCAGTGGCTTTCACTGACATTTTAATTAACTAGTTAATTTCCTCAAATTACCTGTAGCAACGCTTCGAGCTTATTTTCAGAGCCAGAGAGTTTTATGAAATCATGGCGAGCAGATGCAATCTTTCGATGCAGTGTTGATGTGCGTAAATGCACTATGCCTTGGAACTCCTCATCGACTAGAATTTGAACTCCCTGTGAAATCTCTAAACAGTCAATACTGCAAGTTACCACATATGCGAATGAAGTTCCAATACATCCCAGCAAACAGACAAGGGAACCACAATCGATATCACTGCCAGTCCCAAGAAAGAACAATTCGTGAAAACGTAATCTGGACAAACTTTGAGTATGAATCCATCTCATTTTCAAGCTTGACAAAGGAGCAAACTTTAGCAAATAACTTTAGCAAATTTACAGGGAGAAGTGCCAAGAATTGTTTCAGTCACCTAGAAGAACTGGGGTAAAATATATCCCTAATTAACACTCTATCCTTTTCTTTTTGGGTTAGGAAAGCAGTCGCCGAGGACACAGAATTAAGTCTTCAAAGGTAAACAAACGTGAAGGTTTAGGTGGAGACATGTCCAACTTGGCTAAGCAACCAATGAATTCAGCTGTCCAAGAACCAAGAGAACAGAGAAGAAATATCTAACTTCTACTTCGTAACTTGCGAATTCTTGTACTCAATGTAACCAAATGCTTGGGAACACAGATAAAAAAGAAAACTTTGAACTCCAACACAATGTACCTTTGTCATTGTTGCAGCAACCAAAACAGTTTGAAACCCTTGCCCGTCAGCCTTTGATGCACGATTTTTCAACGGAGCAAGAAACTTGCGGATATCAGGACCAAATCCACGATCAAACATAGTATCTGCCTCGTCCAAAACCTACTAAAGAACAGGAAAATCACTACAGGCTCTCGCAGATAGTTGTAAGAAGATGAAGTCAATCAAAAGTTTTTAGACACTCACCACATACGTTACATCTCCATACACAATATTTCCTTCCTCAATATGTTGAAGAATCCTACCGGGAGTCCCGACTACCATATCGACCGGGTTATTAAGCGAGTCTTCCTGAGGTCTCAACCTTCCACCACCACTAACCATGATAGACCTGAACCGAGCGTGATGGCTAATCGACTTGGCAACATGGAAAACCTATGGATGGTAGTATGTATGATCATAAAAACTGCACAAAGCCGTGGGAAGAACTAAACCAATTCAGTTGAAGAAAGAAAGACACAAACCTGCTCAGATAGCTCCCTCGTGGGGCATAGAACAACAGCTCGAGGACGCTTTGGCTTCATCATTCTACCTGATAATGCCTCATCCTGTCTTATCAACTGCACAACACCAACAGAAACTTAACTCAATCCACTAGATAGAAATCCATGTTACAAAAGAACTCGAATTTCCATATCATAAACTGACCTGAACAATGGGCAAGAGGTAAGAGAGAGTTTTTCCAGAACCAGTATGAGAACCCAAAACCACACTCTGGCCTTCCAAGACAGCAGGAATCCCAAGGCACTGAATCTCGGTGGGAGTTTCAATTGCCATCTCTTTGAGGGCTGCCATCACCTCTTCGCTCAACCCCAGCTCCTCAAAACTCCCCACCATAAACTTCTTCCGTTTCTTCTTCCCATCGGACCCATTTGAATCCTCGCCCTCGACAGCAGATGCAGCAGCGGAAGAAGAAGGTCGGGAATTGGGTTTGGAGGGTTCCTTGAGGTGTCTGGACCTAAGCCTCTCCAAGAGAATAGCGTGCTTTGCCTGTTCCGGGTCCGTGATTTCGGCTGCGGGCGCTGCCTCGGTGGTGGAGGTGGCTGATGCTGTGCAGATTGGTTTGAAGTTAAACCCTAGCAAAACCCTGCTGGGTTTAGGCAACCCAAGAAATGGGCGGTGGCGGGGGAAGTGGGTGAGTTTGGCTGCGGCGGCGTGGGAGAGTGAAAGGAGTAGAGTTCTGGAGGCGGCTGCCGCCATTGTCATTGTTGAATGTTCGTTTGGGGCTGGGCTTCCTGGCTTTTTGCCGGGGAAGATTTTATATGTTCGTTGCAGTGGGAAGGAAAAATTAAACTGATTACTGATGGGGAGCAGCACCGAGCGAGCGGCTTCAGCTTCGGGTAAATTACCAATTGGTCACCGAACTTCCTTATATGGATCACAATGGGTACTGAGTCAGTGAGTCTAGTATCTTTGTTTCGATTTAATTTGTCCGGTTCCATTATCGATCCATTTTGTCTACATGCTGAACAATATTACTTAAATTACTTAGATTTTTAGTTTAATTAGATCATACTGAATATCACACCACTTGAGTGACAGTCGTATTGTCAATCATGCCGATGAGAATGTTACCACACAAAGTGATGCAATTTCTACCAGCATACACTCAACAGGCAATGGTTGGGGTCTTGGAGCACTGTGGAAGTAGGACTAGCATTTGAAGTTAGGTCAAAACAGATAAGCGAAGCAGCCAAATTGTTCACATGAATAGTTCTCACAGCCAAACCAATGGTCTCAAATCTCATAACTAATCATATTTATATCTCCCACGAGGTTCTGAATGCAGCATTGTGTTCCTTGAAACGATTTCTGCTCAACTGGGAGCTGCTTGTTGCTTTGAGAACTAACTAACAATCTAAAAGCTACCGCCCCTGAGTGCAAGCACCAGATGAAGCACTGAGCCGCCTTCAATGTTGTAGTCTTTGGCTGTCTTGTCATCTGCAAGCTGCTTCCCAGCATAGATGAGCCTGAAATATCCAGAGAACGAGAAAAAAAAACAGCGTTAAGTTAGCACAGAGAAGCAACGGTCATAACACATAAGGAATGAATGGAAACGATGTGCTGCTGCTGCTAGTGACCATATTATGCATTCATAAAGAACTTTTTCAAGCACACTCATAATAGATTCACTGCTAAGCAAGAGTGCAATTAGTTCAGGCATCGGAAGTAAAGAGAACTGCTGACTAGTGATTGATTGTTACCTCTGCTGAATTGGGGGGATTCCTTCCTTCTCTTCAACCCTTTCCTTGATCCTATCGATGGTATCAGTAGGTTCGATATCGATCTCGATCTCTTTCCCTGTCAGGGTTTTCACCTTGATCATGGTTCCTCCCCTAAGTCTGAGCACCAAGTGAAGAGTTGACTCCTTCTGGATGTTGTAGTCTGCAAGGGTTCTTCCATCTTCCAATTGCTTCCCAGCAAAAATCAGCCTCTGCTGATCTGGTGGAATCCCTTCCTTGTCCTGACAATTCATCACCCACAACAAAAAGAATGGAGCTTCAGCATGGGCATCACAAACTAAACAGTCCAGAGGCAGAAAAACAAACAATGAAAGGGCCAAATAGCTCGTTAACCCAGGCAGAGAACAGGCAGCAAAAACAAATTGTTTAGGGCCAAGAAGCAAAAACCCAACTTTCCAATCAAATAACCAAAGGAAAGGCGCAAGCTTTAATCAAGTTCAATCAGAGAAGAACCAATATCTACCAGAGATTCGACGACAATTCGAAATAAGAAACAAAACCCTCGAAGCAATCGCCGGAGAAGAACAATACCCAGAAAGGATTAGATGAGAGAAGGGCGAAATAACGAAGAACAGAAAGCGTAATCAGTAAAAAGCTAAGGGGGCGGGGGAGTGGGGAAAAAAGGGAGACCTGAATCTTAGCCTTGACGTTGTCGATGGTGTCGCTGCTCTCAACTTCGAGAGTGATGGTCTTGCCGGTCAAGGTCTTGACGAAGATCTGCATCTTCTCTCTTCTTCTTCTTGCTAGTGGGGCTGTTTCGGGGAAGCCGATTGTAGAGCTTCGATCACTGGTTAGGGAATTCGATTTTTGTGTTGGGGAGGCGTTGGGATTTTTTTTTTTTAGGGTTAATTGCATGGTTGGTCACTGAGATTACAAAAAACGTTCAAGTTTGGTCACTCGAAATATTTAAATCCATTGGTGGTACTTCAGTTTACTGAAACCGTTCATGTTTGGTCACTCTCCGTCCAACTCCGTTAACTTTTGCTGATGTGGCAGTCAACTCTAAAAGTTGACCGTTAACTTAGTGACGTGGCAACTAAAAAATTATTAAAAATAAAAAAATAAAATTTTATATTTTCCACCTCATTATTATATTCATTAAAAAATAAAAAACATAATTTCTTTATTTTAGAAAATGAGACTTGCTCCCCTGCTCTTCTTCATCGGCTGCGCCCCGCCACCTCCACCACCGCCGTTGCCGATTCCGATTGGCAGAACTTCAAGGACAGGCGCCGGCCAAAACCCTGATCAAACACCACAAACCCTTTCCAGATTTAGCACCGACGGCGGTGGATTTATCATCCGGCAGCATCGAAGACGACGTCGATGATGTCGAAACATCAAAATCAAGGCTGATGGAGCTCCGGCGGCTCTGCCGTCGCTTTTTGATCCGGCCTCTTCTCCTGCCTTTAGATCCTTCACTTTTTGCACAACCCAAAAGCAATGTTCAAATGTTTATCCCTCCCTTTCCCTTACTGTGCCATGATGATGATGAAAAGCTTCATGTTTCAGCAGCAGCAGCAACAAGATCAAGAAAACATGTCCTGTCCAACCTCACAACTTCAGCTTCAGGAGCAGCAAGTGTCTCCTCCGGAGGAAGAGTGGATCAAAACAATTACAACCCACCTCCAGAAATCCCACCATCCAATCAGCCACCTCCCAAGAAGAAGAGAAACATGCCAGGCAACCCAGGTAACAAAATAAAAAAAATTTACCAATAATTAATTTCCACTTTTGTTTTTGCTTATGGGGTCAAATCTTGAGGTCAAGCTTTGTTTTTTGGGGTTTTGTGACCAGACCCAGATTCCGAAGTGATATCTCTATCCCCCAAGACCTTGATGGCAACGAACCGGTTCCTATGCGAGATCTGCAACAAAGGGTTTCAGAGGGACCAGAATTTGCAGCTCCACAGGCGAGGCCAAGTTCCCGGTGAGGAGTATGGATCTCAAAGATATAAAGCAACGGCAGAGCCGCCGAAGCTCCATCAGCCTTGATTTTGATGTTTCGGCATCATCAACGTCGTCTTCGATGCTGTCGGATGATAAATTCACCGCCGTCGGTGCTAAATCTGGAAAGGGTTTGTGGTGTTTGATCAGGGTTTTGGCCGGCGCCTGTCCTTGAAGTTCTGCCAATCGGAATCGGCAACGGCGGTGGTGGAGGTGGCGGGGCGCAGCCGATTAAGAAGAGCAGGGAAGCAAGTCTCATTTTCTAAAATAAAGAAATTATGTTTTTTATTTTTTAATGAATGTAATGATAAGGTGGAAAATATAAAATTTTATTTTTTTATTTTTAATAATTTTTTAGTTGCCACGTCACTAAGTTAACGGTCAACTTTTAGAGTTGACTGCCACATCAGCAAAAGTTAACAGAGTTGGACGGAGAGTGACCAAACATGAACGGTTTCAGTAAACTAAAGTACCACCAATGGATTTAAATATTTCGAGTGACCAAACTTGAACGTTTTTTGTAATCTCAGTGACCAACCATGCAATTAACCCTTTTTTTTTATAAGAAGGACTTGGGATTTTTAAGTGTGCCTATTTAAACCCAAAAAAATTTCAACCCAACCGGCCAGGCGGCCACATCATTAAAACCCACCAAATAAGGAGCCCAACCCAACTCAACCCTACCCAACCCAAACCGTGACACAAACCATCCCCTTCTTCCTCTATTTTATTTTACCCAACTAAGATAACCCTACCCAAACCCGACCCACTGAATCCGCCGTCGCCAAACCGCAGTTTGAGTACGTACAACAAAACGTGACCGACTTTTGTATTTTGTTTGGGCATTATGTTGTGGATGGTTAAGTTTCTATTTATATATATTTACAACTAGATCAACTTTTGTAATCTTTATTTTCGGGTTTAAGGTTTCTGTATGGGACGCTTGAGATGATGAATTGAACCATAGATCTATCTTTGTTGATCGCACTAAATTTCTTCTACTACTTAACTAACTAGGGTTCGTTTGGTTTTGGTGATAATTAAATCAATGCACGCACTGTAATATACATGCAATTAGGAAAAATGATGTAATGTAGTTTACATCGTTTGGTTTTGGTGATAGTTGTTTTAGCATTTAAATAATTGTATTTCTTTTTTTATGAAATATCTATTTTACCCTTTTTTTTGGTTATAGACGAATAACGATTTATAGTAATTCTACCACTCTTTAAATTATAGAGATACACACATGTATTCTACTTGAGGATATAAACACTAGTTGCATATATTAAATCGACGACGAGACTGAGGAGGCTAGACCGACGGCGAAATTTTGAAGGAAGAGGGTGTTAAATTGAACGGGTGGTAGAGACATCCACGAAAAAAGTGGAGGGAACTGAGCATGGGTATTCCCGAAAAAATGAGAGCGTATTAGATAATAAAAGTTTAAGGATATTGACATATTGTGGGAATATAGATAAATAACTAGGGATATAATTGGAACAAAAAAAGAATCAAACAATCCCCACCAAACTATCTCAACAATCTCAAGTTTTACATGAGATAGTAGTATCACTCATTTTGAGTGATTCTTTCCATCACATCAACAAAACAATGTATGCATTGTTGCAGGAAAAACCCCCAGAAAAATGATGTATTGTCGACAATGCACCACTTGTAACAATCCCACCTAAACTATCACCAAAACCAAACGACCCTATGTATTTTTGCTTCCACAAGTAATTCCATCAATGGGAACATTCCTTGGCATGCTATTTATACGTTAAACAATTAAACCAAGTATCAATGCTTAAAAGTATTAGAATCTTAATTTCACAGTGACTTCGGTAAACATGAAGATGAAGAAAAATGGAAATATGAGCAGCATACAATCAATTTCTATTGCTTTTCATTTGCTAAAAATTTCAAATAAGCATGGCAAAGTTTTTATATAAAAAATTGAAATGGTACAAACAAATGCGGAGTCGTAGGTTAAGCAATACGCAACGAATTGATATTTTACTCGAATTAGATCAAACAAAAAATAATTTAATTCTCTATTGTTACTCTATAGAATTGCTTAAAGTCAAAGAAGAATAACCGAATTGTCACCATATCAAATGTTCTTTTGACTTTCATATTCAATTTCACTTATTTTCCCTTTTGTGTATATTAACTATTTAAATGTGATATGTTTATAATAATATTTATAGATTTATTTCTTTTTTAATTAATAGACGACCGTCTACTATAGCTGAATACAAATAAAATTTCAAAACTTCATTTGCAAGGTACATATTTCACATATTAAAGTTAACAGACATTCAAAAGCAAAAACTATCAAGTTAACTCTTTCAAACCACCGTTGCACAATATTAAAAACTGAACCATCTACGTAAAAATACATAAATGATCCTAAACCGGCCAACGGGCAGGATACAAACTAGTTTATTATATGCACTTTCCTCTTTCTCTCTCTAATTCCGTAAATTATGATCATACAAAATTTTATCGACAAATAAACTAATGTTAGTCATCAAGCTAAAGGTTTTATTTTTATATTTTATTTCACTATAATATTGAAGAGGGTTTATCGAGTAAGGATGAGTCCATTATATGATTAAAATTTGAGACCTCAAACCAATGATAATGTTTTTTTTTTTATACCAAACACTTTTAGGTAACTAAAATCTTACGACGACACAAACTCTTCATAGTATGAAACAAAAGGAGAAAATGATGAGGGATCTAAATTTATTATCCCTATCAGAAAGAGAGAAAAAACACAATTATTATTATAATAAACCCTTTGAATCAAAAGCATACTACTGCTTATTCTATAAAAAAATAAAAAAGATAAACATTGTGTTTCCTTTTTGTTCTTTTTCTCTCCTTAATCCCTCCTTTAATCGTTTTTTGACAGTATTCCCTCCTTTAATCTAATGCTCATTCTTCCAAAAACCGCACTTGTCATACTGATGTGTTTGCGAGTTGAACTTACAAAGCCCAAAGGGCTTAACAATATATTTACAAGCAATACAGTTCATTTCCCAATCATTATAAACCTCGTCCCAATGAACCTTGCCGCCACCTGGAACGCCAGCTCGCCATTCAAAGGAACAGTAGAACAGGGTTCGAAAAAATATATCTGTCCTAAACTTAAAACGAGAGCTCTGGTTATATCCCAAATGACGAACCCCAAGATCGTCATCTTTTGACCTGCAATGTAACTTTAGTTGCGCCTTGCTCTCCAGTGTGTTGGTAATTGTTACTGTTTTTTTCAACGGAAAGATGCCATCTTCATGCTCGGCTTTAGCAACATCGCCTGTTGTTGCGATGACCACGAGGAAGATAACGTTGATTATCAAAATTGTCCTCCTCATACTAATGCTTAAAATCATCAGATGTACTGTGATATATCATATATCACCAAATATTGGATATATAGATATTTGTGCGTGTGAAGATGATCGCAATATGTATGTGTATATATATATATATATAAGGCAAGGCTGTGGATCAATTTCAGGATTTTCAGTTAGTTAGTTTTTTTTTGGTATGGATAGCGTAAATCTATATACTTTTCTATTTTTATGCTTTTGATACTGTCTTATTTTCCGACAATTACGATTAAGAGACGACTGAATAATTCAGTGCTTGTTTCAAAGTGATAACAGCGCGCTACTAATTATATCACAGAGTCGAAATTTTATTCTTTGTAAGAAACAAGATGATTATAGCATAGAATAATTAAGGAATTAAACAACTAAAGCATTCGAATGGTATAATAGAATTCACATTACTAAACAATACAAACTTAGTTAGCCATAAGAGATAAAGAAGACATCATCAATTCAATTGTAGAGTTGAAGGGTCAATGATACATGAACACTATGGTCATATATATTGGACCCCATTGTTTTTTCATATCCTTAACTTGGTCTTGAAAGGCATTAGAAAAATGCCTCATGTTAGGACTCTTGCATATCGAGCTCCCAATATCTCTATTTTTTTTACAATCATGGTCCACTTTATTTTCGGTTGAATACAAGGGGAAACTAAAAAGAAATAGTGAGGCCTCGTTTTACCAGATTTGCAACTACATTTCTGAATTTGCAAAGTATTATTGAGCTCGTGGATGATTTGGAGGCTCTAGTGATGAGTGAGTTCTTTAGAGATAGTGATCTCAAGTATCCCGGTATGAAAGAATGTGAAGTCGATTGTACAAGATTAACCGTTTTGGATTGATTGTGACTTCATTTTTTTTATAGATGAAAGTGACTTTTATTAAAACCCCAATACACTAGATGTGTATTCTTAACAAGGGAGCAAAAAGATACAGGTAAAAGAGATGATTTACAATGCCCTCCAAGAACTAATGAGAAGCAATCAGATAGTCGACGTGCAATGGTGTATGTACATGATGGGATGATTAGAGTGTCAAAAATTGTGATTGCTACTTGTGGAAACAAGATGGAGAAATACAAACTTTACACAGACATCATTGAAAGGAGATGGGATAAACATATGTGGGGTGATTTTTGTTTGCGAAAGCATACTTTATCAATCCAACTTTCATGTAATTATGATGATTTTGATGATTTAAGGCAGTTAGAAATGGCATTCTTGATCTTCTTAAGAACTTAGATTATGTCCTGATACAAATGTGGTGGTGGATGAGATGAACTTGTGTGCTGAACTTTCAGGGGTCTTTTTGCAATGGATTCTAAACAAAAACAACTAGGTAATTAATATTATGTGCACTGAAGTGTTTTTTTATAGAAAAATCGAAGTTCTTCTATTTGTTACGATATGTAAGAAACTAACATGCATGCTTAATATTAGATAAGTGGTAGAAATAGTTTGACATTGATACTCAAAATCTTCAGAAGTTGGCTATTCAAATCCTTAGCCAAACTGTTTCTGCTTGTAAATGTAAACATGAGGGTTTTAACGTGTGCACACCAAGAGAATAAACAGATTACAACACAAAATGCTTAGTGACTTGGTATGATTGTGCAGTAGGTATGGCTGGATATTATTCAATATCTATGTGATTTGAATTTGTAATTACTGAATTGGATCATTTGTTGCCTTTGTACTTTGATTATGGAGTATTATATCAAGAAGAACAAAGATTCTTATGATCCCATAAGCCTTGAAAGCACTGAAATAATGAGCTAGATCGAGCATTAAAAGTGGAAGGTTTGTGTGTGAATTAATTATGTTTAATATGTATTCTAAACTCCTAATACTAATAATTGATAGTGATTCTTACTTGTTTTATCTTGCATTGTAATTGGTGATGAAGAAGATGAAGGTAAAGAGTTCCAAAATGAATATAATCAATATTTGGATGAGTTTGAAGATATGAATTTGATTGAAGTTTAATATCAAAGTAGTAGTTTCTAGTCTGAGTTTGGCACTTGTTGTTTGTTAATGTTGTTTGGTTGTTCTATACTAGTTTCTAAACATGCATTTCGATGATGATGTGGTTCATTAGATATTGTAATGTGGTACTATGTTACCTATGACTATTTAATATTTTACAACATGTTATCCGGTAATTCCAGAATGGTACCATGTTCTTTATTGTACGGTATTTTAACAAAAAAATTTTAATTACAAAAATAATATATTATCGATGCAAAATAATTGATTCATGCTCGTACCACAAAATACTCTTCGTAAATGACTCTGGTATGACTTCTGATATAATTTGATAAACCTTGGTTAAACGCATGAAAGTGATTAGTTGGAGGTTGAAAATTATGGAGTAATATGTTTATAATTATAAAGAATTTTTCTAATAAACACTGAGTCAATGCTTAATCAATAATCAGCGTATTCAGTCAATTGGTAGGTCCCAATTTGACAGTTGACAGAGATTAACCGACTTTGAACGAGAAGGGATATTAGAAAAACTTTCGTATTTCAAGGATTATGTCAGGAAAAGAAATAATTGAGGGACAATGATAGAAAAAAAGCTTATAGTTTAGGATGAAAATACTATTAGCACATATAAAAACAACAATAAAAATGAGAATTATACTCATCTCGTACAACAAAAGGAATTACTAACTATTCCCTTAAAAAAAAAAATACTAACTAGACCTGGGTCTAAGACTCGGCCTAAACCTTTTCGAGCCAAAGAACTATCCTCCAACAGTTGTTTGGAAGTTGTGATTGTTAAATAGATGTATTTTTGTGAATATATGTATAAAATTATACATGTATTGATGAATTTAACACATTATAAAATACATCGTTTGATATGTGTGATTGTGTATGTCACACCAGCTAAAAATTGAGATAAAACAATATCAACTCAATAATCCCAGTTAAAAATGAGATATAACAATCACTAATTTAGTGATAGTTTTTGTCACATCAGAAAAACAATCCGTGTATTATGTCTACTAAAAAAAACAATGCATTCTAAATAATAAAAATATGGTAACAATCTAACAGAAATAATCGCAACTCCCAAACGAAACATGAATATACTTGAATCAAGAAATATGGTCGACCCGTTAGACCCGTTTCATTTCATATGTCGTCACTCACACAATAATAAAATCACTCATAAATTGGTGAGATTTTTAAAAAAATTTACAAGGATTTGAAAGACATGTTTGGAATTTTAATAATCAAATATCATGTGTTTTCTGTAGTAGTAGTAGTAGTATTACTCTTGTGATTGTTTTTTGACGATTTATGCAATTTGTATTTCATTTCATTAGCATGAGAGGAATATTTGAGAATATGTTAATCGACACGTGTTAGGTAAACTATTGCCATGCATATGTGAAATTTTTTGTTCCTTAAAAAAAAATATGAAGTATATTTGATATAGTTTCTGAGAACGCTCATAACCCGAAACAACCTGTAACCCAACCCAAAACCCAATGAATTGGATCAATATTTGACCCGAAATCAACCAATCCGATATGACCCGACCCGTAACCAGAGGCCCCAACCCGATCCGGTTGCCGGGTTCTAGTAGTAGCAGAAAGCAGATCCAATGCTGCTGCTGCTATATTGCAAGCATACGAGACCGAGCTAAGTTGCCTTTTCTGCACGCCAATTTGGTCAGAACATTGGGCAACGAATTCATGGCTTTTAGCGATGAATGTCACTGTTGCTAAAAAATGTTGATTTTTGTAAGTGAGGTATGACCGACATGTACGCTTTTTGATCCATAAAATGGTTTTATTAATGAGAAGAAATTGTTACAAACATCCGGTTTCAGCTGATCAAACAAATCGGAGGTATGTCAAAATCAAATCATACTTCCGTCTCAATATTCCCAACTTGTCCTAATATGTGCCAGCTGATTCAAAATTGCCTTTCTGCTCACATGTTTCCACTATCTCCATCTCCTACCTCCCGTAGCAGTTTCCGCACGTTTCCTACAGATGACTGAGCACTTCGGTTAGATAGAACCGTAGCTGCCTTGGTCAACTTTCCGACCGAGCTGGTTTTGTCGTACCAATTGGAGGCCGAATTCGGCTGCTTATTATTATGCTTCACCCGTCTCCCATTCCCGTCACAATAGCCTCGTTCCCGTCACAAATGATCTTTCTGACGGCATCGTGTCGTTGCTATCTCTGGTCCAAATACTAGCATCAATATATCATTAATAAAGTTTTTATGACTAGGTAGTAGGTACGTAGCAGCATGTCTATTTTGATGACAGATTACCAAATAGGATTGCAAATGAGTCGAATCGAGCCGAGTTTTACCCCAGTTTGAATTTGGTTGTTAATGAACGAGTTCAGATCGAGTTCGGCTTGTTTATTAACGAGCCGAGTCGAGTTTGAGCTAGTTTGCTTAGTAAATTCTTGACTCGTATTTGATTTTGTATGTTATGCATGATATACGTGTGATTAATGTCGAGATGAAAACAAATTAATATTTTTTTAAACTGGCTTTATATTTTGTTTTTAGTTTGGACATGGAAAGTTTCGATTTAAAAAGGACGTACAATTTCTAAACTCTTGGGCCTTGGCTATGTTTATAATTGGTTTTTTCTAAGTACTTTAATTTAAATGATATCACTTAGTTTTTTCAACTTACAAAATTTTAAGAATACTTCTGTGAAGATAAGGAATAAATTGTTTTTCAAATAGCAGTATAAGTAGATATTTATTTTTAAATTTTGAAAATAGGATGAGTTATACAATATTGGAAAATACCATTAATTTGTTTGGTTGTTTCTTTTCTAATTCATATTGATCATACCATGGTATAATTTTTTTGTTTAGATCTTATTTTTTAGTGAAAATGGAACATGGTATACTCATTGAAATGTATTATTAATTTTCTAATTGAAATTAAACCTATCATGCTAGAAATTTTTAGTTTAAATATTATTTTGAGTAATATTAATCACCCTAAAAAACACCATTATCATCATATTTAAAAATATTTCCTTATTATTTTGATTGATTTTAGCGCCCTTTTCGGCAATAGAGTAAGAATTTCGACCTTACCGAACACCAAATCATGGCTCTACCCGTAGTTTAAAATATAGAATTAGCCAACATAATAATATTTAGGAAAAATGTAGCAAATATGACATTATTCAATCAATGACTTATTTATTGTGTACAACGTAACACTTAAAAAAAGTGTTGTTACTGTTAGCTTTTCTGTTTGTGCTTTGATTTTCGAGTTTGTTTATGTTTTGGACATTCGTATTAGTTTGATTAGCTATCCTAGTTCTATTTAAAGCCTTCAATTAGGTTGTAAATTGTAATAGTTAGAGTTGATTGAATTGAATACAGACATTGAGTTTGATTCACTAAGTGTTGCTTCGTGAGTGTGTGAGTTGCTTAGAATGAGTTCTAAGTAGCTTGTTGCTGTATCGATCAAGTCATTCACCCTCGATCTTGACCGACCTCTACTCTATTCTTTTCGAGCCTTCGTCCTTGTGAGCGATTGCACGAGAGATTCACCCAAAACCCATCATTGTTTTACCCTGTTTGTGCTTGTGTTCGAGATTGAGAGTTGAGTCCCATTCAACTCGTGGCTGTGTGATCCTGATCCAAAAGACCCATCTAGGGCCTCATGGATTATATCACGAAGACATCTCAAGCTATGGAAAGAAACCTAAATTTTGTCTAAGTGTTTTATGTGTTTCAGGTACGTTACTTGGCACTAAAATTTATTCCAATTGGCTCAATGGAAATGGGCAAATTTATTCCAATTGGCTAAAATTTATGTGTTTGAAGTTGGGAAGTTGCTCTACAAAATGGAGTGCTTGGAAGCTCGAGAAGAAGCCAAGAGAGTCGCGTTTGAAGCTTCTGAAAACTCTATGTCAAAATCGAAATTCTGCCAGAAATTGGCGAAGGCATGGAGCATGTCCAACAAGGCGACTTTGAAGGCTTATTCACAGCACATGGATGAGAGTCGAGCTTGGAGCCTTGTACAACATGAAAGTACAGGTTATTTACTACAACGACGTGGAATTGGATGAAGGATTGGTGACCTGGAAGACTTCGAACGAAAGCTACAAGAACGTACGAAGCCTGGGAAAACTGTCTTGCTAGACAAGGAATCCGAATCCTACCCGGATTAGGATTACTCTTACCTTTTCTGTTTGTGCTTTGATTTCCGAGTTTGTTTATGTTTTGGACTTTCGTATTAGTTTGATCAGCTATTCTAGTTCTATTTAAAGCCTTCAATTGAGTTGTAATAGTTAAAGTTGATTGAATTGAATATAAATAATGAGTTTTATTCACAAAGGGTTTCTTCGTGAGTGTGTGAGTTGCTTTGAACGAGTTCTAAGTAGCTTGTTGCTGTATCGATCAAGCCATCCACCCTTGATCGTGGCCGGCCTCTCCTCCTTTCATCTTATCCATATCCTAGCTCTAGGCAATTTAAATAATTTCGTATTCGATAACACCGATTGAGATACCGAAATACCAATCGGGATACCAAAATATTTAGGGATTGGGATAACAATTTTCTTATAAAAAAACACCAATTAACAACAAATAGCTAGTGTCATATATATATAGGGCAGTATATATTATCATTGTCGCTTATAATTTCCTTTCTGAGGCTAATAGATATCTTAAGTGCCTCCACTATATGTCGCTACATCTTATTTTTCTTGTAGTGACAATATATACGTATACGATACGTTGGTTTCCCCCTTCCTGGCTCCTCCGAAGGCAGTGTAACTGTGATGGAATGGATCACTATATATACAGCTTCTCCTTGCAGATTCCAACCACAGGTTTCTTCATCAATTCTTTCTTTTCTCTCCATCAGTTTTCCACTTTTCCTAGCTTCTTCATTCTCTCCATCTGCTCCAAGTCAAATATTAGCTAGCTAGCTACGTACCCATGAGCACTACTTCGGATTCCAACCTCGGGCAAGTCCGTGATGGTGGCCAGCCGCTGTTGGTCATGGCGGCGCTTCTCGCCGTGGTGGTCATTGTGGTCGGTATGGCGTACATTACGCGTTGCGTCCGCGCTCAGATGGAGGGAAATGATGATCAGCCTCCGCCGCCTCAGCCTCAGCCGCCACAGCCTCAGCCGCAGCCGCCCATACTTCCCCTTGTGAGACCGCCGCTGCCCCCCGCCCGGAAGTTCTCGGAGGACGACGAGCAGGCGGAGTGCTCCATTTGCCTGGAGGAGTTCGAGGCAGGCGTGGACGTCCGGAGGCTGGGTTCATGTGGGCACCTCTTCCACTTGATCTGCATAGATCAGTGGCTTGAAGGTCAAGCAACTTGCCCATTGTGCAGAGGGAGTGTGGTTTGATTCATAAGAGTGATCTGTTTGTATGCTTACTTGTTTGTCTACGTTCAGTGTTGTAATGAATAAAAGTTATAAACATATATATAATGATAATAATAATAATAATAATTAATATATGTGTTACTACTATCATTCAATGTTGAATTGGGATTCGTTTTGAAGTGCTATTCGGTATTCGGGATAACGGGATTGGGATCGCGGTATAATACCGAAATATCGAGAAACAACAAGAATTAATGAAATATAGCACACAATTTTTGGTCATTCCCCCACTCTTTCATCACTCACAATGATGAATCCCAAGCTAGGCCTCTAATCAGAATTACGAAGCTCGAATCAAATTGTGGGGTATGGTTGTTTACGAAGGAAAAAACAGAGGGTGTTTTGGTGAAGGGGATAAACAAACTAGCAACTTTAACACGAGGGAAAGAGACTGGGTTTTGGGTATAATAACACCACGAGATCGATGATGGGAAGTCGATCTCTAGGTCTGCAAGTCTGGGATGAAAATCCAAGACCAAACTCGAGCAATCAAGCTCAAAGGAACTCCTCGGAGTAGGTTTATTTCAATCAACTTAAAACGTGAATTACAACTCAAAGTAAGAGCTATTTATAGCCAACTAAACCTAATTACAATCCTAAGAGAACAAGGGAAGAAAGAAACAAAAATCCAACTCAATCAAGGTAATAAATCGGCCCAAACTTCCTTTTCTTCAAGCACAAGTAAACTGCCTTGTTGCACAGTCAAGCTGCTGGAAATCAGGCTTCGTAGCATCTTCAAGCTCTTCGTTGGAAGCCTTCCAGGTAAGCTTTACTTCAGCCAATTCCCTGTCTCTGTAGAGTAACAAACGTACTCTCATGTGGTGTGAAGCCCTGAACTCGATTCCCATCCCTGCTCCTCTGGTTGAGCTCCAAAGTAGGCAGCTGGAACACCTTCCCTGCCTTAGCAAAAAACAAGCAGTTTTCAGATTGCAGGATAGGGTTTTGAGCAGCTTGAAATCCAACCCTCCTGGCTTCCTTTCCACAATCCAAGTGCTCCAAGTTGTAGAGAAACACACAAGCTTAAAAACAAGCCCTTGACCTTGCATTTTCAGAAGACCAATTGGGAGAACCATGCCTCCAAAGTAGGGTTCCCAAAACTGTTCCAACACTTAGAAAATTTCCAGCTTTGTTTTTGTTAACTTGAACCGATCTTTGAACGATTAATTGGAACTTTAAACCTGTCCGAATTGTGATCATATCACACAAGTCCCAATCGAACTCAATTTTTGCTTTCCATTTTAAGTCACTCTCGTCTCTCATCTGATCTCTTGTTATTTTAATAACATAAAAAAATACAATTCTAGTATTAGTCATCTCTCAATCTCCAATTTGTCGAATTAAAGATTACTAATAACAAGAACTTGAGTTGTCACCTCTCCTCTCTTCTCCCTATCCGTATCCTAGCTCTAGCCAAACTCAAGACTCTTTTCTTAGTCTCTTTGCCTAAATTAAACAATCAAATCTAATTTATATATTTAATTTGGTAATTATTTTTTTATTCGATGATACCAATTGGGATACCGAAATACCGATTGAGATACCGAAATACCGATTGGAATACCGAAATATTTAGGGATTGGGACCTAGTTTTACAACCAAACTAGAATTACAGCCCCGATGGCTACGATGGCTCCATGCTCTTGTTGTCTTGAGACCGCTACCACCTTGATTGTATGGGAGAGGTCCCTCCATGCTGAACTTCTGCCACTTGGTACCCATCTTGAATGGATGAGAACTTAACCCCTTTACCCACTAAGACTCCATGCTTAGTATTGGAGGGCTTGGTTTCATCTTATCGACTTACCGCTTAGCTGACTTGCCACCAAGTCCTACTCGTCAACTTATTATTTCCTACCAGACCCGTCTCATTGGCTTGGTACCTTCCGGCTTGCCACCAAGTTGATGTGATTCACATGACACCTTTCATCTCGGCGGCTTAATACCCTCTGCTACCAAGCCAACCCTTACAACTTGGTCTCCATACTTAGTTTCTGTAATCTCATCAAGTTGGTACCATGCCGCCTTGTCGGCTTGGTACCCTGTTGGGGGGCCACCGTGCCCATATTAACAACTTAGTTAGTATCCATATGACCCCCTAAGGGCTCTACACCAAATCCTCATCAACTTGGTACCTTGGCTAGGGCTGGCTATTTGGACCGGGACCGGATGAAAAACCGGAAACCGGACCGTATAACCCGAACCGAGACCGGACTGGGACCGGATAGTAACCAATCCAATCCAATCTTTGGGCTTAGATTTGAGGTAAAAAAAACCGGATAAAGACCGGATAAGAGAGCTCAACACCCAAAACTTAAGGGTAATTTGCATAAACGGTCACAAACCTTTGCACTTAGTACAAAACTTAACCAACTCCTCACCCTTTTAGGCCTTAGGCAACTCAAATTCCCACAATCTCAATATAAAATCAAGACCGATGGGACCGGACCGGGTCAAGACCGGACGGATCAAGACCGGACTGTATCCAATCCAATCTCCGGTCCTTATATTTTCAAAAAAACCGGACTGGACCGGATCAATTTGGGCCAATTTAACCGGACCGGACCGTATAGCCACCCCTAACCTTGGCTGGCAAGTCTCAACCGTCGAGGTTCCACTCTTGTCTTGACAGTAATCACAACCACCTCAGGTGGCCACCTTATCACCTCCTCATCAGGTTGGCACCCTGCTAGTTTGATCTCTATGGTTGGTTTTGGGAGGTTTGGTAACTTGATACCAAAACTATTTGTCGGCTTGGTACCCTCTTGGTTGGCTACCAAGGTCGTTTTGACGAGGTATCCAAACTTAATTTATATATGGCTCTCTAGTTGGTACACATCTTGGTACCTTCTTGCCGGACTACCAAGCCTATCTTTTGTTAGGTTATTTTTGACATGTCATATTATAGATTTACTCACTTTTTATTATGACGAGGATGATTACCTTCTAAAACTAGGTTGGACTTGACCTCGAATTTGGGTATTTAGTAGTGATTATCACTTCAAATTATTTATTAACCTTATACATCCTCATAATCAAATCATTTATATCTTAATCATAATTTATGATGAAGTTCTTGACCATGATATTTCACGGTATTAGAAAAGTCACATTTGTTTTATGTAATAAATTTAGGTTCATCACCACTACTCGTCTATGGTACCACAATAGGGATGGCAATGGGGCGGGTTTGTCTAAACCATCCTCATGCTCGCTTTCAAATATCCAAAATCATACTCTCCCCATACTCATGCGGGGAAGATTTTGCATACCCATCCCCATATCCGTGGGTTTCGGGTACCCGTGGGTAATACCCGCCCCGTACATCCAACATTATAATACCTAAAATTATACATGTAACTTTTCAATTATTTTTAATACGATTCAAAACATCTTATTCTAAAACATCCATGCATTAATCCGTAAGATAGAGAAACAATATAAGCAAAATCATTATTCTCTACCTTTGATACATCTATTAAATAATAACTAACTAGCATGATCTTGTTAACAGAAGGGACAAAGTGAAAGAGTTAGAAGGAAAATAATTATGTAGTGTTGATTTGAGTGATCACTCAATGGCATTTCTATTCTTTATTTTTTGAGTTACCCTCGTAATCAATGATAGATTATAATATAATCTGTGTATTTTTTATATGTGAAGAAATGCTCTTGATGGGGCGGGTATGTGTATGGGTGTGGGGTAGGGGAGGCTAAAACCATACCCGTCCCATACCCATCAACATTTTGCGGGTTTTACCCATACCCGCCCCATACCCAGTCAATGCAAGAATTCCCCCGCGTTGACTGGATGGGGGCGGTTGGGTACCCGCGGCCATGGATTTGATTGCCATTCCTATACCACAATACTTTACCAGTTTACCTACTATGATATCTTTTTGGCAAAGTATATAGTAGAAGATTGGAGATATTATGGAAATGAATAAGCCATGCGTTAGATGACTACAACATTGTAATTTGGTTTGGTTTCTTCAATTGAATTGAAATACTCAATTAACCAAATCCAAGATCCACGAAAATGGTACTATAACCATATCACTATCAAATTCGGTTAACCATTTTCGTCATCAAACCTTATGAATTCTTGGTTTCGAAATTTGTTTGACTACTTGACGGCGGTCTAGTATCAATGACCAAAATCCATACTTGCTAGCATAAAAAAAAAATTAATACCAAAAGCCGGTTTAGTATCAATGACCAAAATCCATCATAAATTATTTTCTTGATTTATGGTTCAATGATAATATAGAAAAGTAGTTATTATATTACGATCAATAAAGATTGATATTCATTTATGATTTTGCATTACGTCAATTCAAATTATATGTTGTTAAGGTTAGTCTATATAGCAGTCCAACCCCTAAATAACTTATTTTTTTGTTTATAATAATTTTTTATTCTACCAATTAAATAAAATGAAACACGGCTAACTAACAAAAACTATAAAACCAACCTCGTGCCATTGCCTATCTAATAATATATAATCACCAAGACAATTGATCAAAACAAAAACCAAACAAGATATTTAGAATATTGAACAAGTTACCAACTTATTACAAACCCCATCCAAAATTCTCTCTCACATGAAATGAGAGAAAGATAACAGCCTTGATGTTTGAAAAAAATCCGAAGAAACTACATAACTTATTTTTGAAAACCAAATCTAATGTTATCCTATTTCATTAGGCTCATGACTTCCATCCATAACAAATGTCATATGCATGAGCTGCCGGGTCAAAAAAACATGGTCCACTCTCCTTAACGATCCATTGGCAATGGACACAACGCTCATAATCCCTCTTCCAAATGTAGATGTCATACCGATGAATCTTTCCGTCTCCCCATTGCATGGAACAATAGAATTGTGTGGTGTGCCAAAAATTTGGACGGAATTTCCATTTAAAGCCATGATCTGGCTTTAGCACTCGGAGCCCGAGATCATCGTCTCCTGATTTGCAATGAAGTTTCAATTCCTGCCCTCCTTCTAGCTCATTCCACACCACCACATATGTTTTATGATACCCTGGATTAATCCAAAAAGCCTTACTCAAATAAATTTCTAGGGTTAATACTAGGAAGGCAACAAAAAAATAATTTCTCATCCACATTGCTGTTTCTATGTTTAATTAATCACTCTATATGAGACCTTGAGTTTGCCTACTTATAGGTGAAGATCAATGCACGTGAGCAAGTTTGTTGTTGCATTATAGAATCTACCGTAACTTCTTTTCCATTAATCTAGGAATAAGATGAATTGGTCGGAAGTGGTAATATTATTATTTTTTTGGTGTAAACAAGGCGCTTAGCGCGCATCGCAAGTGATAATATAATATATGGATTTAAATAGAAGCGTTATTTTTGCAGAGGATTTCGGAAAATTTGAGCATTCAAGTATACAACTATTTTCTCTAATCAGAAAATTAATAATAAAACTAATGGTCATAAAGTATTTAAGGAGAGGTAAACCAAGAGGACTCAACTCACCTCGGTGATGGGCATCTACCACGCCCTCATTGACTACTTTCTCACGGGCAAGAATGAGAGCGTTGTTCTGTCTCCACCTGAGTTCTATACATGCTCCACCAGCTCAACGAGCGAGTCCCGATCCACTTGGGATGGGTGGTTGTACGTTTGTTTGTCCATGTGGCTACGGACAAGTGTGGTAAGGTTCATGGTGGAGCATATGTCACCCGCCTGGCGCGACACTTTGAGGTGGCACCCTGGTACTTCCAGCCCCGAGCCACATCGTGCACCAAGCCCTTCTCCTCCAAAGCTCTATCTAGGATGAGTTTCATCACTCCTCATGTGTCGGTTGATGAGCGTGACAATGGTTCATGGTAGGGCGTACTCGGAGGTGTGGGATAATTATGAAGGACCACGGAATAGAGCTCACACACCATATCCTACAAACCCCAAATTATAGCTTGAGGAATTCAATCCTAGGCAACCATCTCACTCCCAGCGGTCTTCCAACCACTTGGTTGGTTGTTTTTGTCATCGTTTAGGAAGTTAGACTAGGCTAGTTCTACCTTCAAACTTTGTTAGGCTAGATAGTAAATTAGTTCTGAAATAGCAGTAGATCCATTGATCCGTGGAATCCGACCTCGTGAGTCAACTCTTTACTACATCACCGATCTAGATTATACATGACTTAGATTGGAGTAGCACCCGTTGATAATCGAGTTTTAACTTGGTTCCCATCACTTTAAAAGTCGTAAGTCATTGCCTGTCAAATTGTCTCAAGCCCATGATGAGCCAGTTGGTACATAACAATCAGCTCAGTTTTGTCTCGGGCCAGCATATCACAGATAGCACGCTCGTAGCTTGCCTTTTTTTACAGAAATTAGGCGGTTGGTTTGTTGTTGGTGGCAATTTTAACATGTGTAGCCCATATAAACAACAACAAATCGAGCTCAATAAAAGTTTAGTAGGACTAGAACTATCTTTGACCCCTTGGCTATTACCAAAAAGAAACGAGATAAAGTAAAAAATATGTTTTTCTATTTTATATATAACTATCATAAAGGCTACTGTACACCAAATAGTATGTTTGTTAACGTTTAATTATTAGTTCCGGAACTAACTAGCTATTTACTATAAGTATGCTCTAGATTAGCGTACTTCACAATTGCCACTCTTTGAAAGGTCGGTGTCGGTGTGGAAAACCTAGAGAAGGGTGGTTCTCGAGGATTTTCAACATTCGGAATTATTCATGTTGAGGGTAGGGGGATCACATGATTCTTTTACTAGATTTTTATTACCTCTTCTAATTAGAGGTTAATAAATCATTTATACTTTATTCGTCCCTTTTTATTTTTCACTCCAACTCTAATAGAGTAATCTGATGACTACAATGTATTTAAAAACCTTCTTGAAGATTAGACTTCACTTACTTCATGATTTTATATAAATTGATTGACCATATCTTTCAACACTCATTTCATGTATTAGACTTCAATGCATATATAAAAATCTTTTGTTAGGTTGTTTCTGACATGTCATATTATAGATCTACTCACTTTTTATTATGACGAGGATGATTACCTTCTAAAACTAGCTTGGAGGCGGCCAGTTGGCCGCAGTATTTTTAGGTCATTTAGTAAGTTACCCCGAATTTGTGTATCTAGTAGTGATTATCAGTTCAAATTATTTATTAACCTTATACATCCGCATAATCAAATCATTTATATCTTAATCATAATTTATGATGAAGTTCTTGACCACGCTATTGAAAAAAGTCACATTTGAAATTGCTATTCGTCGCCCTAAAATCCCTTATTCGTCGACCTAATTAAATTAATTTTACTTTAATGTCTTTATTCATATTTGTAGGTTAAACACTTAAACCCAATACAAACTTGTAAATTACCGAGGAAAAAGAGAAAAAAAAAAAACAAAAGCTGAGCGACAATATTGGGCCTGGAACATCGTCGTCGCTGGCGGCTGAAACGTTACGGTCTGTGGATGAGTGGATCCCAAGTTCATCGCCATCGTCGTTCCATTGTTCCAACCATAACCGGGGCGATCGTGATTGTAATTGTGGTGGCTGTTACTATTGTTACCATGGAAAGAGAATTGCCTCCAGTCATCAACATGTAATTGTGGTGCAGCGGCCTTGCATTTTGCAATTTGTTGCTGGATCACCGTTGGCTGGGGGACGACGGCGGCGGTCTGGGATGTTGCTGACCGCAGGATTGAGTAATGCAGACCCTCTTCCAATGGCAGTAGGAATTGCAGATGTTGAAAGGAAGAATAAGTTTTTTCTTCGAGGTGGCCGGAGAGAAATGAAGGTAAAGTTGCTGGAAAGCAAATTAGCTTCTCGGGCAATTGTTTGGTGTAGGGATATTAGGATGCAGATTTTGTGAAGGGGTAAATATGTCAGTTTAGTGCGTTTTAGGGCGATAAAATTTGAATTTTAGGATGACGAATAGCGATTCAGTTGTTTTATGTAATAAATTGAGGTTCCTCACCACTACTCGTGTATGGTACCACATAACCACAATACTTTACCAGTTTAAAAGTATATAGTAGAAGATTGGAGATATTATGGAAATGAATAAGAGATGCGTTAGATGACTACAAGATTGTAATTTGGTTTGGTTTCTTCAATTGAATAGAAATACTCAATTAACCAAATCCAAGATCCACAAAAATGGTACCATAACCATATCACTATCAAATTCGGTTAACCATTTTCGCCATCAAACATGATGAATTCTTGGTTTCGAAATATGTTTGACTATTTGACGGCGGTCTAGTATCAATGACCAAAATCCATACTTGCAAGCATAAAAAAAAATTTAATACCAAAAACCGGTTTAGTATCAATGACCAAAATCCAACATAAATTATTCTCTTGATTTATGGTTCAATGATAATATAGAAAAGTAGTTATTATATTACGATCAATAAAGATTGATATTCATTTATGATTTTGCATTACGTCAATTCAAATTATATGTTGTTAAGGTTAGTCTATATAGCAGTCCAACCCCTAAATAACTTTTTTTATAATGATTTTTTATTCTACCAATTAAAATAAAATTATATACGGCTAAATAACAAAAACTATAAAACCAACCTCGTGCCATTGCGGCATTGCCTATCTAGTAATATATAATCACCAAGACAATTGATCAAAACAAAAACCAAACAAAATGTTTAGAATATTGAACAAATTACCAACTTATTACAAACCCGTTCCAAAATTCTCTCTCACATGAAATGAGAGAAAGATAACAGCCTTGATGTTTGAAAAAATCCGAGGAAACTACATAACTTATTTTTGACAACAAATCTAATGTTATCCTATTTCATTAGGATCATGGCTTCCATCCATAACAAATGTCATATGCATGAGCTGCGGGGTCAAAAAAACATGGTCCACTCTCCTTAACGATCCATTGGCAATGGCCACAACGCTCATAATCCCTCTTCCAAATGTAGATGTCAAACCGATGAATCTTTCCGTCTCCCCATTGCATGGTACAATAGAATTGTGTGGTGTGCCAAAAGTTTGGACGGAATTTCCATTTAAAGCCATGGTGTAGCTTTAGCACTCGGAGCCCGAGATCATCGTCTCCGGATTTGCAATGAAGTTTCAATTCCTGCCCTCCTTCTAGCTCATTCCACACCACCACATATGTTTTTCCATACCCTGGATCCCACCAATAGGGAGTCCCCTTGCTCAAATAAATTTCTAGGGTTAATACTAGAAAGGCAAAAAAAAAATAATTTCTCATCCACATTGTTGTTTCTATGTTTAATTAATCACTCCATACGAGACCTTGAGTTTGCCTACTTATAGGTGAAGATAAATGCATGTGAGCAAGTTTGTTATTGCATTACAGAATCTACCGTAACTTCTTTTCCATTAATCTAGGAATAAGATGAATTGGTCGGAAGTTGTAATATTTTTTTTTTTGTAAACAATGCGCTTAGCGCGCATCGGAAGCGGTAATATAATTAATGGATTTAAATAGAAGCGTTATTTTTGCAGAGAATTTCGGAAAATTTGAGCATTCAAGTATACAACTACTTCCTCTAATGAGAAAATTAATAATAAAACTAATGATCATAAACTATTTAAGGTAATAAGGTAATTCATGTAATAATGTGGGGTTGATAAATGTATATGTCACATTACTTTTTCTGTTTTTCACTTTCATATGGGACTTGGTAAACTGATTCTACTATATAACGACCATCAAATTATTGCAATATATGGTTTTCTTTTTTAGCTTCGCAATTGTAGAAAATAAATCATCAAGAAGATTTGGAAAGAATTCGAAAGAAAGCTTCCTTGTGAAAGAAGTCAAACGTGTATGTGAATTATTAACCTTGATAGAGCTTGTAAGCTTGTGAGATTGGTTGATTGTGAACTTAACAAAATAAACGTGTAGTTAAATTGGAGTAAGATCAATCTAGAATGTAGGTCTCAATGGCAGCCATGGAGCACTGAGTAAAGCACTTTTTCCCCTGGAATTCGGAGTAAAGCATTGCACCTACTGAACATTGTCAACAAATAGTCAAATATCGTGTGGTAATTACATTATGATATCTCTCTTCTTCTCTCATTATATCAACCATCTACGTGCTCAAGATTCAAGAAGTAGTTGATCGGTAATAGGATAATGGATATGGTGTTTAACCTTTAGTTATGCAACCCTGTATAACAACTAACAAGCGTTCTTGGTACGATTCGGATAAAATGGGACCAAAGGGACAATTCCACACCTGTGGAAAGCTCGATTGGTATAAATGGGTAGTTGCTCGACCACAATTAAAGAGAATATTCAATCGATACAAAGTTCAGCAAGTTTGAAATCCACCAAACCCTCAGTAGTTGCTCGACCACAATTGAAGGAAATATTCAATCGATACAAAGCTCAGCAAGTTTGGAATCCACCAAACCCTCAGAAGTACGCAAACTTGCACTTTTTTTGTCGAAAGATAACTCGTATTACCGAGACAAAAGAGCTACACTAGAGTCATCTGGCCGCACGCAGCAAGGACGAAAAATCAAAACCAACCGGACTAGAAAACAATGAGAGGGCTTTTCTGGCCATCAAATGGGTCACCCTATTCTCAGACCGTCCTACAAAGCGGATAGAAAACCAATGCAAACATCGGAGCAACATATGAATCTCCTCAAGGATCGCCCCGCCACGAAGATCTTGACTTTCTCCATTCGCCACTTTGTCGAGCACCACTTTCGCATCCCCTGCAAAAACCACCTGTTGAATACACAAGACACACACCAGGTGATGGCATCGCGAAGCACCAATAACTCCACCAGGAATGGATCCACCACATCATCTTAGACCTTTGCCGAGGTCCCAGCAACATGCTTGTCGAATCCTATAGCACCCACCCCCTGCTCCATGTGAAGCACGAGCAACAACTCCATCTGAAAATACCCAGAATGTCCCAGCTGGGACACTCTCCACCCTACACCCACCCCCTCCCCTATTGCACAACCATAGGGGTAACATCAGGTTGTACCTACGACACCGCCTCCCATTCCGACACTTGAGAGGTGAGCTCAAATACCACCCAGTTTCGAGCTTTCCAAATTCGCCACAAAAGGGCCACCAACCCAAGAAGATCCAAACTAGGGACATCCCCACGCTCCAAGGCCCTCCGCCAGAACAATTCCGTACACCCCACAGGAAAAGACCCTTGAAGAGGAAGAAGTCCTGAGGCATCCCACAACTCTCAAGCCAGTCTGCACTCAAAGAATCGGTGCTCCAACGTTTCCTTCTCACAAAGACAAACCGGACAAAGAAGCACACCCTGCATCCCTCGAGTAGACAATGCTTCCCCAGTGGGTAAGATACGACGCAAAATTTTCCACAAAAAGCCCTAAACTTAGGAGGCACCTGGGCCCCCATACCTTAGTCCAAAGGATGTTATCCCAAATATGAGCCCCACACTTAGAAGCCCTTCCCCGAGTCCAACGCAATTGAGCAACTAGGTGATAAGCTGATTTAACCGTGTAAACCCCAGACGGGTCATGATGTCATATCAATCGATCAGTGACTATCAAAGTAGGCAAAGGAATAGCTCGAATCAGTGTCACAGTTTCTTCCTCAAAGAGATGGTGTAATCGATCAACATCCCAAGTATGCGTCATCTGTGAAATGAGGTCAGCCACTAACCCTTGAGCACCCAAGGTCGTCGGTCTTAAACCAGGCAAATGTGGGTGCAATGCAGGAACCCAATCTGCTCCCGAAAAAGAAATCGAGACCCCAGAACCAATTTGCCATCGCAGCCCTTGTTGGAGCAATTCCCTGTCAAGTAAAATACCACGCCACCCCCAGGACGGCAATGCACCCGTCCTTGCCCCAAGGAAAGAACAATTGGGATAATACCTACTTTTGTAAACTTGGCTCAGCAAAGAATTAGGTTCCTTCAATAGTCGTCATGCCAGCTTGCCCAAAAGGGTCTGATTAAACTCTTCAAATCGTCATAAACCTAACCCACCTTCCAAGTTACTAAGACACAGTGCCTTCCAATCCACCCAATGAATTTGACGCTCCCCTTGCTTAGCCCCCCACCAAAACCGAGCTAGGTTCCTATCCAAATCCCTACACAACGTGACAGGAAACCAAAAGCAGGACATCCCACGGAGCTAATAACCTCACCCGAGTACCGCATTCTTGGACAGAGGCCCGGAGAAAGAGGTAAGAGTCATCGGCAAATAACAAGTGCGATATAACCGGACATCGCGGGATAATCCTCACCCCAGTCAGAGACTTCGCTACCAAAGCTTGTCTAAGAAATGCTTCTAGGCCCTCCGAGCAAATGGCAAAGAGAAGAGGGGATAGAGGGTCACCCTGGCGGAGACCACGACTAGCAGCAAAGTAGCCAGTTGGTCTCCCATTCATCATGACAGAAAAGGTTGTTGACGTAACACATGCTCGAAGCCATTTAATCCATTGCGCACAATACCCAAGTTTCTCAAGCAACGCAAACAAAAAGGTCATTCCACCCTATCATAAGCCTTCTCCATATCAACCTTTAGAGCCATGAACCCCTACTTTCCTGCTCTCTTATTCTTCAAATACTACATTACCTCGTGACTAATCAACACATAATCCACGATCTGCCATCCTCTCACAAATCAACTCTATCCCGGGGAGACAATAGAAGGGAGAAAACACGCTAGGCGTTCGACTACGATCTTCGCAATGATCTTATAAACGAACTGACACAGACTGATTGACCGTAGTTGCTTCATTTTCTCCACAACATCCATTTTGGGAACTAAAACCAACCAGGTATGGTTAAAGTTCTTAAGAAAGGATCCATATTCAAAAAAGCTGATTACTGCCAACACTACGTCTGCCCCCACAATGTCCCAATAAGACCGAAAGAAAACGCCAGTAAAGCAATCCGATCCTGACGCTTGGGTAGCTCCAATCTGGAAGACCGCATGCTTTATCTCCTCCAGAGAAACCGCAAACTTGCACTCAATTGATCAATCTCTGAGTTTTACAACGAAAAAGGAATCTTAAATAGGTCTAGCTACGTCTATCCAACTAATAAGGAAGTCTAATTACATTACAAATCGAAAAGGAATCAGAAACTACCAAAAACACAAAATCCTAATTGAACAAGGAAAACAAATTCTGTTTTTACAAGGCAGAATTTTGTGACTTCGTACAATCTTTGTGATGAGCCCTAGGTAGGTTCTCGAGAGATCAAATTTGCACATCCCTCTCAATTCCAAGATTGAATTGAGCTTCGAACAATAACACACACAAAAACAGAGTTGTTTTCGTATTTGGATGGTAACCTTTCGTGCAACTTTCACGATGGGAACGAGACTCGATTGGTGTGTCCAAGGGCGGAGGGAGAAGCTTAGAGGGTGGGTCCTGGGACCCACCCTGGCTCGGGAGATAAAATAATATATTAGGTATAATAGTTAACCAGGTATGAAAAATAGCATGTATTTAAATGAGAATGGTTGACCTTTGAAATATTTGATGTATGATTTATACGTTGTGTATGGGCATATTCAATGTTTTATAACGAGTTACGTACAAATGACAATGATGCATCCGCCCAAAATTAAAGATGTATGTATTCAATATCTACAACAAATTTCCATCAAATCATAACTAGTTTGCAAAAATAATGTTATTTCAATCAGGGATAGGGAGAGTGTAACGGGTGGCTACAAAGAACGAAAATGAATAAATTAGTATAATAGTTAATTAAGAATGAAATTTAGGACAAATCTAATTGAAAATGGTTGACCAAGAGATCATGTGTTCCGACTAGCCTCTGTCCTTCTTACTCTTTAGAAACCAACCTGATACACCAATAGAAATAATCTTATTTAGAATACAAATAAGATTAGAAAGGTCATCATTAGTGCAAACAAAGCAATAGCTTCAGTTAGAGCAAATCCCAAAATAGCGACCCAATTAGTTAAGCACGTGGTATTCGGATTTGCAAAAATTTAAGCACATATAAGTTGGCTTTGGTTAGCAGGAAAGTGTTAGTAAATACTAAATACTATAAGATCAATTATTAAATCCAACCCAACAACTCGAGTTACTGATGCTAAATAGTCTTGAAAAAGAACGACATTCAAAAGCAAATGTCTAACTGAATCATGAAGAATTGTTTGATACATATGAAGCGATATTGTTGATAGTTACGATATATACTTAATTTACCATGAATTTGTAAATTCAAAATTATATCATGAATTTAAAATGCTAATAAAACT